CGTTGCCTCGCCCCCGCAGTAACGGAACGGGGGCGGCGCCGCCGAGGCGTTCCTTCCTCGATAATCCGCAGCATTGACAACGGGATTGTCAACGGTATCGAACATGAGGTCAAGATCGGGGACCCGACCCGGATAGCGTCGGAGCAGCTGCACCACTCCCCACAACGTGAACACATCCCGGCTCTGAAAAGAGGGCCGTAACCGCTGGACGAAAGCCCGCCCGCCCAACACCACAAGCCGGAAGTTTGCAGTCCGGCCCGCCCGCCCAACCATCTCCTTCGTGATTCCAGAGCGCCGCCATGGGCTCAGGTCTTCGTGGATCCAACGGAAGTATTCGGGGCAACAAGGGGGCGGCGGAGAAAGGCGATCTTTTTTCGGCAATGCGGTCGGCGGGATTGCTCTGCAAATGGTGGATTTTGTTTGGTTTGCGGGTGGGCATGAGAAGGGTATGGTGGCCGGCGGCGGTGGAGGCGGTGGCGATGATGCCGGCGATTGGTTTTTGTTGGGGATGGAAATGTTGGTGGTGGCAATGTAGGTTTTTGATGTGGTGGTGGAGCTTAGTACGAGCTGCTTGATTGCCATTGAAAGTAAAGATTTAGTTTTTGAGATAATTACATGCAGGGCACAAGAATATTTTGGACTATGAATTTTGTTATGAATGATTTGAAGGGCATAAATATAAAAGAAAAATTGGTACATATAAATATATAGGAACTGGGTGGTGTCCTTGTAAATGCCCTAATTAAAGAATTTGACGTTTATGTATTCACATGCAAATAAAGTGACATGATTTCCTCCACCTCCAATGTTTCATTCGGAACCCGTGCCGACAACACCATTTCTTATCATTGTCGATAAATTTAAATATTATTTGCATCAATAAAAAAAATTTGCAAGTAATTTTTCAGTGTAATTCTGAAAATGTTTCTTCTAATAATTAAGCTGGGAAACAGTCGTTTTGTAATTAATTAATTTGCACACTAATTTTGGGCAAGAATGGCTTACAGAATTGTTGATCCATGGAACTGAAACGGCGGCGGCGAGGAGGGAGAAGACGGCGAACAAAATGATCACAATTCTGGTCGCTGGTAGGGCCGCAGCTGCCGTGGAGGCGAAGCTCTGCCTCTTTCCGGCTAGCTTTGATTGCCGGAAAACCTTCCATCCTGGCAGAGCCGCCGCCTCAGGAGAAAAGCTCTGGTTTTTCTCCATGTCCTTCTCCTCTTCAACTCCTCCCTTCTTCGCCGGAGAAGAGAGCTCTGAGAATGGTGTGAGGAGTGATAGAGTAGATCTACCTTTCTCTTCGTTTCTACCATATAAAGTGGCATTTTGTATGTGAAATTA